CCATGTCTTTGTGGGTTTTGGAGGGACTTTGTTGGTGTCAATGTTTATTTTATTCCACTGTGGTCCAAGAAGGTGCACGGCAGAATTTCGGTCCTTTTAAATTTGCTTATGCTTGCATATCTAATATTTTAATATCTTCCTTGTATTTTTCTTTTAACCAAAACATTTAACAATGTAGCCTCATCTGACCCATCATCCTAATCAGCATTCTTCATTAATATCATAAAGAAAGTCACCCAAATCTTTGTTTCCTCTTCTCCAATGCAACACAACATTAAGTGGTCTATCTCTTTGGCACTGCCTCCCCAAGTGTGAAATAGGGGTGAAGGGGAAACACTGCTATTTATTTTGAGGTGTAGTGTGCCATCTACTTTCAATCAGGGATGAAAACCAAATAAAAGCCAAATGCAAGTTATCATTAGGAAATGTTACAGCAGAAGAGCAGCAAGGACTGACTGTATATCATCAGCTATTTATATTGTAGTAAACATGGCATATTAGCTCTATTTTTCCATTTAAAATGTTTCAGTCCAAAGAACTTCTGAAGTAGTGAGCAAATCACACCAGATGGCATTCGATCCTGGTGCTACCATGGGCTGTGGGAGTAAAGCTCCAGTCAGCAGAATTCACCGACATAGATTTTAAAAACAGTTGCTCATGTTGGTACTGCTTTAAAAGAGGTCAATGTACTTTTTGTTTCAAACAAATCACTGTCAATATTTTGAATAACTCTAAACTGATTATTCTAGAAAATATTAACACCTCAAATGCACCTGAATTATATACTTACCATTAACCCAACTACTTAAAAAAAACACTGAAACTTAACACATCTGTTCACATCTTAGGTTAGCAGTTTTATTCCAGTTTATAAACATTTAGTTGTGGCTAATTTTACAGCGTGTATTCCAGCATCTATATAACTTTGTATAGTAGAACGAGTACTACATACTTCAATGAAAACTTATTGAAGAATGAATTTACTATTTATTGACACAGGCATTGCTTAGATCTTTACTCCTAGTCTGGTGCTTCTTCTATTCTGAGAATATAAACCAAACTCCTGGAGTATTAGGGTTTCGATGACAAAGGGAATCCAGAAGTTTGAAATCCCAAGCTAATGAAAAAATATCTGAACTGCTCTGGAAGGAGAAAAAGAAGACACAGAGAAGAAACGTATCTGACAACAAAGAAAATTATTTTTATGGAAGCCATGATCAGTCATTGGCTAGTTAGTGGTGTCCAAGTATATCACCTTCAAGAGAAGACAGTAGTTTTCCAGAGTTTCATAAGGGGGTTCTTTAATTTTGACAAAATGTGAATCACATGGGCTAGAAGTTAATGCAGAAATACACAGCATGGCAAATAGTGCTAATGGCAACATCCTTTTTATTTATTTGCTAAGTTATTGTTGTTTACTTAGAAAGTAAGAGGTACTGAATTAAAACAGATGGAGTCCAATGTACAAATCAGAACTTAGAGGAATTATTACCATGGGACCTAATTAACCTCCACATCTATTTTAGATTATTTTGCTTGTTTAATCTTGAATGAAAAGTCACTGCTGTATACTCAAACAGCCACAAATAGAACCCACTTTTTGTCCACAAGGGTTTACTTTTGTTTGGTCTTATTAACTGCATTTTTTTTTTTTTTTTGAGTTGGAGTCTCACTCTGTTGCCCAGACTGGAGTGCAGTGACCACTCCCGGCCACCGCAGCCTCGAACTGCTGGGCTCTGGAGATCCTTCCGCCTCAGCCTTCCAAGTAGCTGGAACTACAGGCATGCGCTACCACACCCAGCTAATTTTTTGTTTTATTGTAGAGATGAGGTCTCGACAAGTTGCCCAGACGGGTCTCGAACCCACGGGCTCACAGGTTGAGCCACCAAGCCCGGCTTACTGCATTTTTTTTAACATTTGCATTATATCATTAAAAATGAGAGGGCTACGAATATAGGTTGAACAGTATACCTATATTTAACTGTTTTATTCTTTTACTATTTCTGTAGGCTTATATACATATAAGTATGTGTTGAAGTTAACTAAGTAAAGGGAACCTGCCCCGCAAAAGGTTTCCTCCTTGCTTCCTCTATGCCTTGGTATATGCAAATCACCCAACTTAGAATAACAAACATTTCTCCCGTTGGTATCTCCTCCTGGTCCACTCGGACTGCTACTTAACACTCCATTCTGAAGTTACATATTGAACATATGCCATATATAACCTTTCATTTACACTTGCCCTCATGAATCTTTAAAGACTTTTCTATGACTGCCAAAAAACCCAGAAGTTTTGGCATGTATTGGAGGGCTTCCACCACAAGCTAGCCCCTTCCTGCCCTCTGGCTTTATCTCCCTCTCCATTGCTTCATGGACTCCACACCCCAGCCACACCAGTTATGCATTACTTTGCTGATGCCATACTTTTGTTCATACAGTTCTCTATACCTTGATGCTCTTTCCCCTCTGCTCTGTCACTAAAATCCCATTCACCTGTCAAGTCCCTGCTCAAATGGAAACTCTTTGAAGAGCACTTTCTGATCCCTCTAAGGTGAAATTTACTGTCTTCTAGTATTTTCACAGCTCTTTACTGGTACTTTTTATTATTGTTAGCAGTTTGCATCTTCTTTCTCTACAGATTTTTTAAATTCTTAAAAACGGAAACGGCCATCTTTGTAAATTTATCCTTCATATTACCTAGCACAGTGATTGCACACAGTGGGAACTCAATACAGAATGAATGAAAATTACTTATCATGATAAACTAGATTTCTGACAGGGACCACTGCTCTCTGTATATACCAGAATCTAGCACACAGAGAACGTTCAATGAATACTGATTGGTAGTTGACTACAAAATCAAAAACCTAGAGGATCTTTTGGCTTTTAACATTAAAAATTCACAACAAATAAAACAATAAAATGAAGGTTGGCTAAATTGAATATATCAGGTGGGCTACCAGATGATGCTATATAACACTGTTTTGGGGACAGCCCAGGCCCCTTGCCGTACACCATCCCAAAGCAGCACAGAGGTCAGATCACCAGAGCAGGAATAGCTGTTGTAAGTATTTTATAAATATTTCCTTTGATTTGTATAACATGGAGTGTAATTTGAACAGACAGCTTCCATGGGTTAAGAGAAAACTTGTATGTAACAGGAAACAACAAACCACACTTTTTCCATGTGAACACTTTCTGACAAACTGTACTTTGGAAAGAGAACAACCTAACCCAATAAAAGCAATCCTAGAAGCAATATTTCAGAAGTAATGCAAGTCCTGGTAAGGAGTTTCTAAAAGTCAGCTTCAAATGCCTAATTTCCAAATAGCCTTGGGGTGGTCATTATGGTAAAAAGTACTTAGGCTGCTCTAGCTATCTGATTTACAATAGGAATTTTTCTTTATCCTTATTTGGTTTTATAGAGTGCTGGCATTTCTTTTTCTTGTTTTTTATTTTTGGTATTGAATGGCAGTATAGAAGAGTAATTGAATGCACAGATTTTTTTCAGCTAGAACATCTGAGTTCAAATCTTGGCTCCATCACATACTACTTTTATGATCTTAGATAAGTTACATAACATCTCGTGCCTTAGCTTTCTCTTCTAAAACAACAGAGATAATAATAACAATACCTTCCTCTTGGGATTAGGGCAAGGAGCATGCCCATTATATATGTAAAACACTTAGGCCAGTACATAGTAACCTCTATTAAATATTAACCATCTTTAGTGTTTTTGTAAATAATTCATTCTTTTTTTTTTATCAATATTTTTTATTATGGTTTTGTGGGGTACAGTTAAGGGTTAGGTGTACAATTACGTTTCATTCAGGCACCCTGTTGATAAGAGGTGTTTCCCCATCCCCAGACAGATATTTGCTACTGTTAACCCCTTCCCCCTCCCCCCCATAGTTTCCCAGTACCGTTAGTCATTTTCTTATAGTAATAATTCATTCTTTACTTGCAAAATATTGCATATGAACCAGCCCAATGTCCTAAACAGTGAATGGTAAAGTGAACTTGAAGCGAACTTTATTCATCTTTTTTCTACATACACAGATAGAGTGAAGATCTGGTGTTGGTAGGTGAAGGAGGGATATCCACATTAGGTTTCAGAAGATCCCAAAGTAATTAAAGTGTGCAAAAATGAGTGCATCAAGTGTGAATATATATTTTTCTGGGAATGGATATACAAACTTTCAGCAGTGTGTTAAAGGGATCTGTGATCCCCAAGGATCAAGAATCACTACTCAAGAATCCCTTTTTAAAAGGTAAGCCATATTATACATAGGTGTGTAGAGATCAAGCTTGAATAATTTTCTTAACTGAATGTCATTTCCAAATATGCCCTTTTTGTGTATCTTGGTTGCCTAAGTATCTATATTATATGCTTGTTTAAATGCCCTTTTCAGTATAAACATTTGCACAGCTACACCAAGTTAATTAAGCTCCCACTCCTTAATTCTAGTTTTGACTTGTAACTTCCATTTCAGATTTCCATTAATGTATTAGAACAAATTCATTTACTCATGCATATGGACTTAAAAATAAATATTTTATTTCTATGAATTAGGGAAATACAATGCTCTTTTGAATGTTTCTTTATACCTGGTCCCAAAACAGTACTATGCCTAATTGCTAGACTTCCAGAAGAACAATTCCAGAAAAGGTCGTCACAAACTTTTAAAACAAGTGTAAATAAATACCTCCAGAAACTCAGAATAAGAATTTAATTCTTTAGTAATGCAGAAAAGCAATTTTTTTTAAGTCTCTGACTTTGGATAGGCAGGATATCATTTAATTTTTGCTTCTTAGTAATGCTATTTCTTTCTGCCAGTGATTTCAAGTGATACTTATTCCGGTTATAGTACAAAAATGTAACCAAAATAACTTTAGTTCTAGCTGAGCTTAGTATAGTTTGAGACAGGACCCAGTTCCACATGACCAATAACAAGTCAATCTACAACATGCAGGCTGCAACGCTCCATCCATACTTTTACCTGTGAAGCAGTCAAGTTGGGAGAGGGTACAGCTGACTGCTGGGCGTGGTGGTGGTGGTACTGCTGCTGTTGTTGTAGCTGCTGTAGTGGTTGCTGCTGTGCTGTTTGTAGTTTGTTTTCAGATTGTGGCAATGGCTGTATTTGGAACTTGTCTGGTTGTTCTTGCTTTACTATCAGGTTCTTCCGTAGCTGTTCAACCACTCTTTTCTACCAAATGAAGACAAGAAGAAATAAAATCTATCAAAATACTGTTCTACAGGCTGTATAGAAATATACAGCAATTATATTTCTCTGACATCTTTCCTGTGACTAGCTTCATCTAAAACCTGCTACATTTAAAATGTACAGATTCTATATATGAGTTTAAAGAACTTAACAGACATCACTGCTAATATGAAACTGACAGTATAATAAATGTTTTACATATAAAGAGCAACTGAGGCACACAGATGGAAAAAGCGAAGGAGATCACATAGCAGAGCTCAGACTTCTTGACTATTATTAGCTTGATGTGCCAGGCTGACAGGGCAGTATTGCGCAGCAGTGAAGAGTAGGGCTCTGGAGTCATGCTGCTTCAATCAAATTGCAGTGTTGCTACTTACAGCTATATGATGTTGGAAAAGTTTCCTAAGCTACACGTGCCTCACTGTCTTGCTCTTTACAATGAGGCGATTAACAGTACCCTTGGCGTTCTTATGAAACCCAAATGAGCTAATAAATGAAAAGTACTCAGAACTGTGATTGGCACACTGTTGGTCAATATTATTATTATTAGAGATGGACTCTCACTATGTTGCCCACGCTACAGCGCAGTGATTACTCACAGGTATGATCAATGTGCACTACAGCCTTGAACGCCTAAGGCTCAAGAGGTCTTTCCACCTCAGCCTCCTGAGTAGGACTAAAAGCATGCGCCACTGTATGCCGCCTATTATTATTGTTTTGTGCATTCGATGACATAGATACCAGCCATACTAATTTTTATGAAGCAAACAAACATTTTGTATCTATCTCTCTATCCCAGTTTAAAACATTAAAAAGACGTTTAAACAAAGCAACCTTGACCCTAGCAGTGTGCACTATGGACAACGGACGTTCTAAATTACTGAATGTGCAGGCAGGATTTCTTTGCTGGAACAAAATCCACGGAAACGCATACATCTGTTAGGCAGAGTAGCGATTAGCTACGTGGGACAAAAAATCTGAGTCAAAGTTTTTGAACTTTCTTTTTTTTTTTTTCGTTCTTTTTTGAGTTGGAGTCTCAACTCTGTCACCCAGACTGGAGTGCAGTGGCCGCTCCCGGCCACCGCAGCCTCGACCTGCTGGGCTCTGGCAATTCTTCCTCCTCAGCCTTCCGAGTAGCAGGAACGACAGGCGCACACTACCACGCCCAGCTGATTTTTCATTTTTATTGTGGAGATGAGGCCAAGTTGCCCAGGTGGGTCTCGAACCCGCGGGCTCAGGCAATTCACTCACCTCAGCCTCCCAAGGCGCAGCATTACAGGCTGAGCCGACGAGCCCGGCTACTGAACTTTCTAGACCTTATTCAAAATCCAGGAGAAATGTGGTTTTGGATACCTTCATTACTCTAATACATTTCAACAGAATGTAACTCCCATGAGGAGAGGGACTTATTTTGTTCACAACTATACAGTGCGCTTAGAACTATGCTGCTGAATAAACTTCCCTGTTCACCTCGCATGATGTGCAAAGTGAAGGGACCAAAGACTAGCAAATGGTTCATAGTATGTAACAACTATTTGGGGCCAGACTTGGGCTCTGCCCTAATGGCTGGAAGAAAGTATAAGCAGCATTCCTCGCATATACCTTCAAGTGAGCTCAACAGCAGGGGTGTGCTGTTTCTGATAAAAACAGATAGCTATTTTCTAAGATGAATTATAAATGGAGACAAATAAGTGAATGAAGAGCTGTAAATAAAGGATAAGCGAAGTCATAAGGCCAGGTTAATTTTCAAATTCCCACTTAGGGCTCTAATCAACTTCACTGCTCACATTCTCTAAAGAAGCCAAACCTGCAGGCTACCTGTTTGAATAGTAAAATGTTGACAAAATGAATTTTTAAAAACTCTAAGTCAATACAAATTACATTCTCGAGATAATTTTTAATATTTTTTTTTACTGATTCTTTGTAGACAACTAATATAAATGCCAATTTTGGGGGGAAATGATTCTGCTATATAGTATACTCTGCTAGCACTGTCTGGATAAATGTTTTCTTTAAAAGGATGCAGAGTCTGAAGTCTTTGAAAAACCATCTGCAGAATAATAAAAATGCAAATTAATAAAATAGCAAATGTTTATAAAAATTAACTTTCAAGTCTTCAAAATTCTATTTCTCAAGTATAAAAGGCAGAATAATTGAACCGCTATAGTTTAGGAGAAGAGGAAGCAATGGTGCTGCAGATAATTGTGAATATCTCAAATAGACTTTATTGCTTGGTGACTGCCAGAACATTTAGACATTTAAAAATTAAATAATTATTTAGAGTGGCTTTCAGTCCTCCTCCCCATCAGACATCAAACATATTAACAAACTAGATAAAGTAACTCCAAGAACCCTTACAAAAACCAACTCAAACAGAGGGAGGAGAAGCCAGGAGGAAATCATACAACACAAATGTGTGACACCTGCCAAAAAAATAAACTTTGAACAAAAACAAAAACAGCACAAGAAATGAATTACTATACCAGGCACAAAAGGAAAGGGAGTTTTTCTCCTCTGCAACCATCCTTAGGAAATACAGCATGCTCTCCTACTTACTAAAGTAAACTAGAGGCAAGAGACAAAGCCTGGAACCTGCTCCCAGTGTCACGTACAACAGAAGGGAACAGTGGGGGAAAGAACAAGACAGGGATGCAGGCTAGAGTACTCTTCAGCCATATAGCTAGAGCAAGGTGACGACCAATCAGAGCCAGAATCAGGAAAGTGGGAGTCAAGTGAGTCACACTGCATTCACAACCATTCCTCCCCCACGGCCTGAAACAAAGACGTGGAAGGCTGGGGCGGTGGGAAACAGGATCAAAATACTTGCCAACTTACATCAGTCCTTGAGAGGAGGAGGGGAAAAAAAGGAAAAAGAAGAAAGAGCTGTGCGTACTGGACACGGGTCAGACCTTATGAGCTGAGTAAAGTTTTCTTTATAAAGGAAGCTCTAATATTTCAAAGTGTTACTCAGAAATACATCGCCCCTCACTCTTTGCTGGGTTCACCATGTGTCTGTGATTTTTTTTTTCCAATCATGTTTTGGGAGAAGCACCGATGATGCCTTCTGTCACTTAATGTATATGACTGCAGTTTGAAACCAATGACCGAAAGCCAGGTGAACTCTGCAACAGAGGTGCTTCTTATACTCTGTCCTGGACTGGCTAAGAAAGGAGAGTTGCCATGCATATAGCTGGCTTTACTACGTTGCACGATCCAGTCTCGTTCTAGTTGTCTTGCAGTTCTAGCAAACACAATACTCACGGCAGGATCCTGATCTAGGTCATTGCCACTTTTGGGTGGCAGTGAGAGAATATAGCAAAAATATTCCATAAATCCTCACTGTGTGGTATCATGCAACGTTCTCAATGCTTCATACACGAAGGATATCCTCTCATCTCCAAAGGAGATAAGCCTATGTATTTACTATTACATGTTTTAAACAAAGAAATCATGACTTCTGCAGGTCATTAATGAAGGTTATACTGGCATAAACAATTTGATATTTTCAATAATAGTCACATATAAGGGAGATCTTTAAATATAGCTAACTGTCTTAAATATTATCCTGAAGCTTTGAGAAAAGCGAAATTTCACAAGTTGACCATTCATCATTTACTAATAAGTTACTGAAAACTAACACAGCAGAAAAAATGGAAGGAAATTAAAAAAAGAAAAGTGGAAAGAACAAAGGTGAAAGGGAAGGGGACAAAGTTAGTAACTTATCATCTTCTCTCCTTAATGTATTTTCTATAAATAATAAGCCATGTGCCAGGCCTCCAGAAAGGCTTAGTACTGCCCACTTCAATCCATCTATCAAGAATTGCTCCATAAACCCAGCACGTAATACAGAGTCTCAAGTTCCCTTGACATTCACATCACTGGGTTTCATCAGGGCTTGTTCAGGCAGAAGAGTTCACAGAGCCTCTGACACTTCAAGTCACAGTTTCCAAGACAGGTAGTCACGGTGATCAATATTGTGACATTCAGTGATACTATCAACGTGTTCACACAACAGCAAGACAGATCCTGAAGAAAAATACGGAATTTTATAGGTCCAGTACAACAGAAAATCAAATTTTTCTACCATCTAAGTCAATCAGTTCAAGTTCCATGGCCTTGGTCAGTATCAAAGGGAGATGGAAGGACTGCACCCACTCCCCTGGACTTAAGCCCCTGGTTTATTTCTATCAACAAATTCTCATAATTTCAGAAAGCTTCTCTTTGTGCTCTACGTGGCATTCTCTGATTTGTATCAGTTATGAGAGGGCCACAACCACTCAAGACATCTTTTTACATAGTATTGCCTTAAAAATCCATCCTTTTTTTTCTCCATGAATCAACATACAATCTAAAAACATAATCTTCACCCTTCATGCCAGAGGCTGATAGAGACTTGTAACTTTTCACAAATCTAGAAAGAACAAATCTTACTCATCTTCCTACTTAAAATGCAGTAGAAGTCTTTCCAGGTCTTTAGGCTTATCAATTGCTCAAATTTCGTATGTACAGAAAAACTAGCCTGAAGGAATATATATTTGTTGATGAATTCAGACTTTACTCAAAGAGAAAAAAAAAAGGCTTTTCTGCTGTCTAACTAAAACTCAACTGCTGCATTTATAAGTAACATTGACATTCATCAACACTGAAGACGGAGGAAGAGGAAATGGTCTTCAGAATGTACCACACTACTGTCCTCTAAAGAATAGGGGATATGTTTAAAAAAAATTGGGGATATGTCACAACATTAGTAACAAAGTTATTATCCAGAGTAAAAGGGAAGTACTGTTTAAAGGAACAGAAAATTAAGTGAAGATTTCACCGTTTCATGAGCAAAAACAAAGAACACCATTTTATGAACAAATAGGAAGAGAAGTCATAAACTCAAGATAAACCCATTCCTTAATGCAATAAGTAAAATTCAATCAAAGAATATACACTGAAGTTACTGAAGGGAATGTTCCAGTGGAGACACTGAATA